AAAAAAAAAAAAAAAAAAAAAAAAGCCGCCGATATATAAATCTCTAGGTTTAAATAGTAAAACCAAATGGATGGCATAAGTTGCTACGCTGTAGCCATACCATTGTGTGATTACACCGTCATGTATAATCCACACCTTTGTACGGTCACTACATCTTTGATAACAGGGTTCGTGTATCCTGTATATGCCATATTGAGAATGGTAGCAAGTGAATAATACTTTGACGTTTCGTATGTTCGTCTATCAGATAGACTTGTTTAGACAAAGTCTTCAAAGTGCGTTTCGAATAGGCAAATTGTAGAAAGTGCATTAGTCAAGATGTGGTCTATACGTGTTTAACCTCTTGTCGAGCATTGTATCGATTGATCCGATATTTCTTTTTTTGAACGTCACGCGTACTGCTTTTGATTCGTACAATCCTATCGTGCAAGCTTACCAATCGCGTGGAGTGAGATAGTGCAAAACCTTCTCAAGTATTCTAATCGAGATGGGCAATCAATCAGTCAAGGCGTCTCACATTTAACATTGCATGCTGTGAAACACGTCACTTATTTGGTGGTAGTACCAACACGCAGTCTAAACGTTTAATTTATATAATACACTCCTGAAGGTCACATCGAACAATCAATAACTTCAAATTTCATTAACATTTGAAGTTTTTCGATTACCTAGGAGAATTCAGTATGCACTAATGAGATTTGCCAACATTAACGCCACGCGGCTGCATCACGCTAAAGATTTTTGCTTAAGCTACATGCAGGTTCCTACAAGCGGTCGTAAAAACGGTCAAGAGGAGGCACATCCGGAGTCAGACCCTTGCGAATACGCACGCCATTCACCAATTTACCAGCCATGTTGCCTAAATCGGTTGGGTCTCCGCTAATAACCTGGTAGTGGTCAAACACGCACTGAGGGAAAGCCTTGCCACCCGTTGCTTGACGCAGGTCAGCCGTGAAGCCAAAGGACTCGTTGACAGGCAAATAAGCCTTCAGCTGCATCATTGGGGTACCTGGGCGCTGCTCTTCGGCAAACACGTGACCGCGACGGCGGGTCAGAACACCGTATACGCCACCGACGGCATCTTGAGGCACCTGGATATCGGCAAGGAATACCGGCTCCATGAGGGCTGGCTCCGACACCAACTGGCAAGCATACACCACACGACGAGTGGTGGGTAGGATCTGGCCCATACCACGGTGAATGGCATCAGCATGAAGCACCACATCAAGTAAATTCACACGCATTCCTCGCACAACCTCCTCGCAAAGAACACCGTCTTTCGTGGCCCAATTGAAGCCACCAAGTACTGACTCCTTAATTTCATTCAGGTAAGAAATACCCTTGGTGGCGTCCACGAACAAATTAGGTCCAGTGCCGTCCGGGCCATATCCCCAAATTTTACGAGCATCTGTCACATCCCAGCCGTGGTTGTCAGCCAAGTAACGAGCACGGAGCTTAAAATCGTGACGGGTGGAAACCTCGTCTTTGCCGTCTTCAATTTCTTGAGTTAGCTCGTCACCCAGAGGTGTAGCTTCGCAAAATAGACGATTGTGCTTGTTAGGTGATTTGGATAGACAAGTCTTGGAAGAGTTGCCAGTGATGGTTTCACGATAGGATACAACAGGCTCCGAGACTTTAACCTCCGTGCCCATAAACTCCTCCTGAAGATCCTTAAGACAAATTTCAAGATGGAGCTCACCAGCACCAGCAATAATGTGTTCACCTGACTCTTCCGTGTAACAAAGGACCATAGGGTCAGACTTGGAAAGACGCTTCATACCTTCAACAAGCTTAGGCAGGTCGGAAGCGGTCTTTGGTTCAACAGCCACACGTACAACGGGTGACACAGAGAACTTCATCGTGCGAATGGTATGGCCCGTTTCAGAGGTTGTAATAGTACCAGACTTCAACAAGTACTGATCAACACCCACAAGAGCGCACGTGTTACCAGCTGGGATATCGGGGGTCTGCTCGACGTAACGACCCATCATAATGACCGTACGCTGAATGTTCTTGACCCACAAGTCTGTCTTCTTACCGGGCACATAGTTCGGGCCAAGCATGCGCACCTTTTGGCCGGTGGCAATCTTACCGGCAAAAACACGACCAAAAGCGTAGAAACGTCCCTTGTCTGAAGTCGGCACCATTTTAGACACATACATTACTAGCGGACCGTTGACATCGCATTTGCGGATAGCTTCAGCACATTCATCGTCCTGTGGACCTTCGTACAAAGTGTCCACGCGATAACGTTGGGCAGTCACGGGAGACGGTAGATGCACAACAATCATTTCTAAGACGGCGTCAGCAGCCGGCAACCAGCGCTGCATTACACGCTTCAAGAGAGGCTTTCCTGTCAGATCCTTCTCATCCGACTTCAACTCAACTCCAACGGCCTTCATCATCTTCTCGAACTTTGCCTTCTTATCGTTCATAATGGCGTCAAACATCTTGATGATGGGATCCATGATGAATTGGCAAAAAGCTCGCTTAAGAGAACCTTCAGCGTTGTTCTTACTCGTCCATTTCTTGTTTGTCGCGTCAAAGTACCAGTCGCCCCACAACTTTTGCATCATTTTGTCCTCAGCAATGCCAAACTTTTTGGAATAAAGACGAGCAAATTTTTTGAGCGTGAATCCCCATTGGTGAAGACCCGAACCAAATGCGACCGTGCCCTTTTCAGGATACACCTGGACATCACCCAGTTTCTCATCAAAGTAAGTGGCAATGACAACATTAACCGTCTCAATAGCACGAGTGAACGACTGGTAGCAGTCTTCAGGTTCAAGATGCAATTCCAAAAGAGCACGGTCTACCTTGTTCACCATAAGCACAGGTTTCACGCGTTCACTGATCGACTGACGCAACACTGTTTCGGTCTGCACGCAGACACCTTCAATACAGTCCACCACAACCAAGGCACCATCCGTTACACGGAGGGCAGCTGTCACTTCCGACGAAAAGTCAACGTGACCAGGTGAGTCAATCAAGTTGATCAAATATGAATTCTTGTTGATAACAACCTCTTGGTCCGGATCTGCCGCAATTGGCTCTGCGGTGGTATCCTTTGCAATTGCGTCAGCTGTGGCTTTCTCACCAGCATCCATATCGTACTCGAAAAACATAGAGATACCCGTCGACTTGATGGTAATGCACCGTTCCTGCTCATCCGCGCGAGTGTCTGTGAATCGGGCTTCACCAGCGTGTTTGGCCGAAATAATGCCGGCCTTGGACACAAGGGAGTCGGTCAACGTTGACTTACCGTGGTCAACATGAGCAATCACGGACATATTACGAATATTCTTTGTGTAGTCCATGATCTCACGCATCTGATCGACCGTGAAGTTCACCTACCGAATCATCACATACATTAAACAAGATTGTTCTTTAGTCATTCTTCTGCACAGCACTTTTAAGTGTGCTTCTCCCTGTAGACTATAAACTCACCATGGTTGCTACTTGGGGGGTCTAATGCGATGTTTGGTCTTCTTCTTTGCTTCTCCCTTTCGGACTACCTGGATCCAAAAGATGAAATGGCGCTTAAATTCGGGGGCAAGCCAGCGTCGAGAAATAGCAACAGGATTGGCTAAAACAGAGAAAAGAGCCCACAAACGGGTGGAGCAGAGGGCTTGCTTTTTTTAAAGTATAGAATTTGGCCGTAACGACTTTCCTATTTTGTTCTGAGCGCGAGGTTCAATGATTCTCGAGGTTTTTTAGATTCCTTGATCATGACTATTAGCAAGAAAAGTAAAAAGCTTGCGGCTTGCTACCTCTAACCCGTACCATGTATCGTCTTATCGACTAGGATGCGCTTATAGCCAGATGCAATACTATAATACTAGAGCTTGACTCAACTTTAGTATCATGAAGTCGTCTTGCACTGAATTCGTAAAAAAATTGTCGTCGTATCGGCATATATTTTAGGCAATTTTGGGCGGCTTCACAGACATTAATGGTGAATTATTGCTGCAAGCTGATACTTGAAAGCATGATTAATTACAAATAAACTGAGAAAAGAAATGAGGAATGCATCTATGTATTTACGACTGCACCAGCAAGTCTTTAGTGAATTGTATTGCATGTAGAATGATGCATGCTACCCCGACTGTAACCTGCCACCATTCACAGCCTTGACTATAATTTGCTGTCATCGTACATTCCTTTGAGAATACTCTGTGAGATCGAAAGATCTACATAAAAGTGCTCTGCTGTTGTAGCTGGCACTGCTTGAACTGGTCCAAATAAAATTGGCAAGAGCTAATGTCGTTGCTATTGCTGTTGAGACACTCAAGAAAGGCCCTTTGATCAGCACCGCATTGATTCTGCTGCGGTGGCTGCGCGGCTTGCTGTTCATGAGAGGAAATAGATGACTCTTGATGTTGTGGTGCGTCAGATCCTCCTGAAAATGAGCTGGCTACAGCACCAACAGCGCGGTGGGCAACGGCACTGCCCGTGCCAAAAGCCATGCCTTGGGCCATCGTACCCATCAAGCCGCTCATCATCCCTCCGCCGCTGCTGGAGCTCTGATGCGCTGGTGCAGGCGCAGCTTGCGTACGAGCAGGAACAGGTGCGGAGCGACGCGGCTGGGCGGGAGCCGAAGCTCGGCGAGAAGTGGCGGGACGAGACGAGCGAGAGCGACCCATTTGATTGATTCTTCTTGGTTGTTTCGGTTTAGGCGAAAGTTGGATTCTGACGAGTCTTCGATTAAGTCATCCTGCGTGCCACATCATGTGTACATAAAGAACGATCGAGATTATATAGAATATGTGCGAGAACAACCTTGCCTCAACTAAATTTGGCGACAAATTCAGTTCGAGATTTAAAATAGTTTTCCTTTGAGGACGAATAACCCAGTCCATGATATCGAAATAATGCATCTGCGTGTTCACAACCTCCTCCTGAATCGCTTGAGCTTTCTTCTTTTTCTGGTAAAAAGTTTCTAGTATGTTATCGAACAATAATTGAGGGAGAGAAGAGGCAATACTAAATAATTGACAGAAAATGTTTTTTGGAAGGAAAACCTTGCTGCATGTATGAGATGACATCAAATAGATCGCAATTTAAGGTGCTTTGTTGAAAAGAGGGCTTTCTTGGCTTTCGCTTAAAACCATGTTGCGCTCCCAAAAACCTAGAATTCTAAACTTGCGTTCTGCAAAATTCTCCGCTTAAAAACGTAATTTCACAATAATGACGTGTTAAATTGACATGGGCAGAGAGGGTACAAACGATACGTATCCTATAAGACATTATCAATAATAATCGGCGCTCGGTGAAGTGACGGCTCTCCGTCAAAGTCAAGGACAGTGGGGCACGTTGGCTGCTGACCACACATTATGCATTATCAGAATTTCATACTGATGGATAGTAAAGCGGATACCTTGTCGCTATTCTACATTTATGTAACCGGATCTGTGGAGTAGGTACACCTTACGCTTTTGTTTCTAGAGCAAACAAAAGTATAGCACAATGATAAAATCTGAAATCTCAAATGAGCTAGGAGGATGGACTCTGAAAAAAAAATCGTGGGACACATAGGCTGCTAGCATCTTGCTATTAATGACAGATCTTTTTAATATCAATAAAACTCATTCAACTGTTAATGTATGTAGCTGATAAAAAAGAGGATCAAACTAAGAAATATGTGTATATAAAGAATTTAAGGCTCCCCATGAGTAACCAACCCACCGTGCTTTTGCTAACGCAGACTCGCTGGGTCAAAGCTGCGTGAGGTTTGCGGTACTTGGTATGGGTTAAGGCTATAATTACTCTTGGAGTAAGCGGATTGCGATCCGCTAAACTCGTACTTGTTCTGAGTATAGAACGAGAGGTCGGT